TAGAAAAATAGGAAATTAAATAGAACGGAATTGATTACAATGGTATAACAATAAATAAAAACAAATGATATGTATATATTTATAATTACAAAAAGTTCATGAAGTTATCACTTTGAAGTTTTAAAATTTTTAGGGATATTAAACTGTATATCATCTAATACGAAGTACTGTGTATTAAATTATAAAAATTCCCAAATTCATTTGCATTCGGTTATATATATTACATGTACCTTATGCTATTGTATTGCCGAATAAAATGATATGAATACTGAATACCTCTACGATGAGTCATAATTAGCTAGTGTAGATAATTTGATAACCGATTTGTTCTTCTTTGGTCAAGGTTTATTTTATTACAATATATTCTGGCAACAGAGCATTGTCATTGGGATATCTTCCAACTGAAAATACTTATTCGTTTTGCATATACCTTTGTGCATATACAAATGCTATATATGTAGAAAAATACTTTTTAGATTTATGTAAATTTTTCATGTTATGGTCTTACAAAAATATGGCTTTTCTCTTATAGTGGAAAGGACTGTCTGGTGTAACACAGTTTTAACAGTTACACTTAACGCGTTCCTAAATATATATGTTTATTTTTGAAGACTGTATGTTGCCATTTAGATGTCTTCCAACATAGTATTGCCATATTGTTATGCTTATTGATGTAACAATTTTAGGGTTTATCTCTGTATGATTAAATTTAATATGAAATGATATACATGGAGTTTTCTTATTGTTGAAGGCCGTACGCTTACGGTTGCCTTTTATTGCTTACATTCACTTCATTTAAACTTTTGTGGATAGTTGTCTCATTGGCAATCATACCACATCTCCTTATTTTTATATATATACTAGTATGCAAGAATCAAACACAGATATCATTGTACTCAGCATACAATTTGCAGAGTTATACTGTCATATAGTAACTCACTCATGAAAGAGAGGCGAGAGATACCAAAGAAACATTCAAACTCATAAGTCGAAAATAAACAGTTACTGATAACGCCACGGCTAAAAAAGAAAAAGACAAACAGACACACAGACAAACAACAGTACACAAAACACGACATAGAAAACTAAAGACTGAGCAACACGAACCCCACCGAAAACTGCGAGTGATCTCATATGTTTCGGAAGGGTAAGAAAGATCTTGCTCCACATGTGGCACCCGTGGTGTTGCTCATGTTAGTACAAACCCGGTGATAAATCTTAATCGGTTGGTCACATAAAGCACATTATAATATTCGGTCAATGTGCTCTTCATTATATAAAATTCTGCAGACATAAAGATCAGTACATATGAAAATAATAAACAACACAAAATTCAATATCAAAATATACAAAAGGTATTAATGCCCTCGATTCTTCAGTCTAGATAAAACTGAAATTTTGGGTGATTTCCCTGTACCTGTGTTGATTTGTTTAAATGCTTAAGTAGTTATTTTATATTTCGGAATTATAGTAAATCAATTATTCTTAACGGCCGTCGTTTTTTCAAAAGATCAATTTTCCAGTATATTCACTGTCAGCACTTGTAATTAAGTAAACATTAATAGACATTTGTATACAACTATGTCAAGTAGATACCATGCTTCCTGTGTACTGGTATTAATTGTTTTTACATACAGTGTGATCCATAACTCCTGGGCAAATGAGTGCGTATCACAAAAAAAAGAAATTGTATAGAATTCAAATTTATGTAAATAGTTTATAAATAATTGTCTGCAGACAAAAAAAAAATACTACACATCCAAAGCTGACATTGAGTACAAACTTGTTACGAAGAAAACTATTAACACAGTTATAGACCTCATATTTTGAATTACCATTACTAAATTAAGATTAAAACTCGTTCAGTTTAAGTTCCCTTCATATTACACTGCTAAAAATTTGCACCGTCCTAGAAAATTATTTTACTAGAATTTAAGATTGGTCGTCAAAAAGTCGTATGATGCAGTTTTTATTTTATTTTTAGCGTTTAGCTAGCAAATTTGACTAAAAATGCGGATCTAAATTGGCATGCAGTATACATTTATTTTCGAAGGCTGCACTCAACTATAATTTTTTTTTTTATTTCTTTCAAACATCACACATATTTCTTTATTCATTAATCGGAACGGCTAATCATAAAAGCCTTTTGATGATAAATTAAGAAGGGGATATTTTGTGTTTTTCTGGATTCCAACATCATATACAGGACTTGATATAACTTGTATTTGTCGATGTTTAATTGTTTCTTTGTTTTTTGAGTGTTCGTAATTCTGTTTTGAGGTTGTGTTGATAAAATTAGAGGCAAAATAAGGTTATCAGTCGAATAGTTAAGAAATTGGAATCCGACAAAAACCGAAAAGATGACAAAACCGGAAAGTCCGTTGAAACGGCTTTTACATTTAAGAGAAGCATTTATTAAGTTTAATCCTTTGAATATTGTTATTTTCTGAAAAGCAGAAGAGGGTTAGTTGTTGTATTTGTCACTGACATTAAATCGCGGCGGTATTTTGACACAGTTGATTGGTGTACAGATGAAATTTACATCGGCAAAATTGTTGATTGTAACTTAAGTTCATTCGATTGATGATATGCCGAAGGGAAGTTTGAAAATTGTTTATTGACACATAGTTGTTAACATTCCTCATTCCTGTTGGAAATACAGAAACTTCTCAAAGATTAAAACATTTTGCTTAATTTTTTAATTAGAGGTTCAGATATATGAAGATGGCATGTCACTCTATAACCCTCATTTCAGTCAGTGCTTACATTTCATATATTCCAGTGCTGTTGTGATAAAGGCCACTACCGCATCTAGAATGACTGCTTCATATCTGGACCTTTTCTTTGATTGACGACCGCAAACAAAAATCTATGACAAACGCCACATGCTTATTATAATTTTCCAACGTCCATGTCCCAGCTCTCAAAATAAGCATACATGTCTGTGCCATCGTAAAGTGTTTACGTATCTCAATTTATACCTAAATCTCATGCATGTTTACACAATACCGACTTCATGAACAGATGGGTGTCTTGACGGCGGCGGCAGATACCAAAGGGATATTCAAACTTAATAGTCGTAGACAATTTTACAATTACATGGCACAAGTCAAAGAACGACGTAAAGACAAAGGGTATTTACATTGAAATTTAATTTTCTATGTTTTTTTTTATGAAAATGGCAAGTGACCTTTTATCTTGAATTTTTTAAAACTGCACCATTATTTCTTTAGACGACCAAATTAGTCTTAAGGCACACACATATTCGAATCGAATGATATATGATATAGCCGTGTTGTATTTGTATTTGGACGACTATTTCGAAAAATTCTGACTTTGGTCAACGGGCTATATAAGTCATATATATATACAAAACTGTTGGTCACCAGCAATCGTGATGAAAGTTATCACAGAGACAAGTGAAAATCATGAATAGTCCAACCTGTTTATAAAGGTCATCATTGGCGCCAGAGAAAATATGAATTAGGGACAGGCAGAGGGTGACCTGACAAGACAGGTTTCACTAAATAGAGGTGACTATAATAGCAGGTTTGACTGTAAAATGCTTCAAAATTACAACAACAGTTCGGTAACACTGATGGTAGACTATTTGAGTGCTTTATTTGTAAAACAATCAACAAAAACGAAAAACAAAAATGATATACAGCCTCGGAGTAACAGGCATGTGACAGGTACATACAGACTGTGGTTGGGTTAATATGAAAAAAAGAAGATGTGATTTGATTGTTCATGAGACTACTCTCCACCAGAGACCATATGACTTCGAAATAAGCACCTACAGGTCAATGAACGGCCTTCACAACGACGAAAGCCCACACCACATATCTAGCTATGAAAGGCCCCAAAATGACATATGTTAAACAATATAAACGAGAAAACTAACGGCCTGATTTATGTACAAAACAATGAACGAAAAACTAATCAATCATATTATATTGTTTAATATTCTGACATTTTTGTTAAGTCAAAAGTGTTTTGAACTTTACTAGATTGCAAGACACTAGACGATTTCTTGATTTATATGCCTATCTTTTATTTTTAGCTTTGGCTGCCAATTGTGTTGGCAAGCGGGATCAGTGGTAATTTGTTTTAGATTAATTATCTAAAGATGCGTTGAGCAAAGTTTGATTCCAAAAGGCAAGGAAGAATGAAGTTTTATTTAAGTATATGGACAAAAAACGAACCCATTGTACTAGATAAGCTGAAATATTTGATATAGATAATTATAATAATTGAAAAACACAGGGATTGAGAATATAATCGTTATAAAAGAGTTAAAAGTGAGTGAGATAATATTTTAATATGGAACTGTCTGATTTTGGGTCTTGGCGTTTAACAAATATTTGGACAATTGGCCAATCGTCTATCTCAACCTTTTTGGAAGCATTTGATAGATAAACATTTTCAGTCATTATGAAAGTACAGGGACAACCAGTGTTTCGCTTATCTATGTGTTCACCATATGTATTACTTAGATCAGCACTTTGTGCTATTGTCTTATGCAAGTTGTTTTTGATCTTCGTGTCCGTCTGATTATTTAATCGATTTCCAACTGATGTATATATTTCATCTTATATTGTGCTGTTACACGACTGTCCCAGGTTAGACAGGGGAGGGGTCAGCTCTCACAAACAAGTTATCCCCGTCACTTTCTATTTAACTGTGCCAAGTCAGGAACATGTAATGCAGTGGTCGTTGTTGGTAGTTGTCTGTAATTTTTGATTTTTCGTTTATGTTTTTGGAATAAATCAGGCCGTTGGTTTTATTGTTTCAATATTTTCACATCTTGTCTTTTCGCAGATTTTTATAGCTGACTATATGGTATTAGTTTTGTGCATTGTTGAACGTCCTATGGTGACCTATAGTTTAACTAATCTGCAGCATGTAGACTCAGTTTGATACACGTCTTGCTGGGAATCATACCATATCTCCATTTTTTTATACCTAATTTTCAATGAAAATAAAAAACAACACGAAACTTGTTATTGTTGATTTTTCTTCTTTTAATATCAAAACTTGGCACACATCTGTACAAGGCTACCCATCTCTATTTTACCAAATTTAACCAACTGCTTACAGCTTTTTAATTGTCATTTTGTATATGTTTACATAGTCAGGTTTTCTACACATTGATTTCGTAGAATATCAGCCGTGAGCCATAATATGAACCTTTTTGCAGAGCGTTACTTTGTCATGATAACAAGAGGCTGATATTTTCCAATATCTATACACAGAATACCAAATAACCTGTTTATCGTGCTTTTTGTCTTCTTTTTCCTCTCTCGTAGTCTGATTTAAACTAGACAAAAAATTAAGCTTGATTAAGTCTTCTCAAACATTGTGACATCACTATTATATTTTCCGCAGACATTTTGACTTCGTTGATAAGTTTAAAAGTCTACAAGCCGTGTTGCAAGAATTGCGGAGCGACTGAGCAGGGTAAAATAGGCACTGAGAAGCACGATAACTTACAATATTCATGCAAGATTCAGTTTAATTTGAATTGATATCAATATAGCAATAAATGACATTTCATGTCCCTGATTTTTGCTGTTGTCACTATCATAATTTAGTAAAATTTGATAAGAAACGAAAAATGACAACAACAGCGACAATTACAACCACAAGCTTTTAGAAGTAACAGTAAAAACAACCAGTGAAACACAAATGCAAAATAGCTAATGAACATCTTTTAATATGCTGATATAATGTACATGTATATTCTTTCATATTCTCAATTAGAACATTTTGGATGGTTTTTCTCTTCTTTAGCATTTCAGCTTTCATCATGTGTTTGTAGATATGAAAACGTATAGATCGTTATTACTATGTCTTCCTGAATGGATAAATTCAAATAATTGTATTAAAGTAGTTTACTTTATTACTGTTATAAGCTAACAAAATAACATGTAGTTGTTGGTTTGGGGAATATAGTGATCCCTCAAATTCTGTAATTTTTGAATTATCTCTTTGATGCTTTAAACCACCAATGAGAAGATCAAGTATATTATAAATAAGAAATTATATGTTTTTATTATAGATACAAACGTTGTTAATAGTTGCTTGCATAATTGTTTGTATAAATGCAGTTATTCGAAAGTTCTACCGACACCATCATGAGATGGTTGTCTGTTAAGACATATTTATGTTATAGATGGCCACTGACACATGTATGTTACAATCGTCGAAGCCACAATTTCGTCTTCTTTACTCGATTATGACAAAACCGCTTGTAACTCATCAACGAATTCATATTTTCAGTTAGCCACACGATAGATGCAAGTTTTTATAGACACATGATTTCTTTACCCATCTGAAGCAACTGAGGACATCCTCAGATTTGATAGGGGTCGTGTTGCTTAGTATCCAGTTTTTAATGTAGTGCTGGTTTTTTTTTTAACTTGTTTGCCTTTTCGTCGTCTTTCTCTTTCGTATTTTCTTTGTCTTTTCGGCGTATGAGTTTTGACTGTCCCCTTGGTATTTTTTTTTTTTTTTTGATATGTTTTCAACACGAACTGGACATTTGAATAAGTTTTAATCTATGAAATTGTATTTCACTTACGTTTAATGATGTATACAATGCAGAACATTGCCAACAAAAGGACGGAACATGCTGTGACCAGTATAATATGCCAATGAAAAGATGAGTCGTATGCTAATGTAAAAGAAAATAATAACCTAGCCATTCACTTGGTCTTAAGGCAAATTGTCAACATAAATGTGGAATATGCATATGCATATTTAATTTTTGTCTGAATGTTAGATGAATTTAAACCTAACCATACACTATGCTTATTACATATTGTCTTCTCGTCTATGGTATTAAATGGGGCTAAAAGGGCATTTAACATGGCTTGCATTTTCAATTATAATTATGACTGTGAAGTTCATTAATGGATGGAAAATAGTAATTTCTTTGGTGAATTTTACATTGACACTATTGAAATAATTAAAAATGTTCTTTTTTTTTTAAAATCCTTCGGAAATTATAACTTACCATGACACGTTTGTATGTTTTCATCGTAAACGGTAAAATTATAAGATAATAAGGAGCAAACAATTTGCAGACTACCACTGCAACCAACCTCCTGCAGTGGGAAAGTAAAGGACATATTCACGTCTGTAAAATATCCATAAGATTGCAGCTTGGTAACGTTTGCTTCACCTATAACTTTCTCCTGTAAAATTGAGAGACCAACATACATTTCTGAACAAAAGCTAACATATGACAGGTTTCATAGGTATTGTGACAAAATATCTTAATAAAACAAAGACTGTGTGAAATGATCTTTCAATCATGCGAAAGTTCATAATGACAGTGTTGGTGCATTTCGCCTTTTTTGTGTAATTATGGAGTATACATAGAAAAACAAATATAGTATTTTTAGAATAAACTCGTATAAACTTCCTATATTTATTTCTTCTACAATAGATACAAACGAAAACAATGAAAAATGTGAACATAAAAAACCGCTTTCAAAGCTGTTTACCTTAAACAACGTTGTGCAGTTTGGTACTGGATTTACTTTCTCAAGTGATACTTCTATATGTAGCTGGTTTCCACTGGCGGTAGCAATGGTGTCCGTTGTCGTTCTAGTTGGAAAAGCTGGAATCAATTATTCACCAAATAAGGATTAAATGAATGCAAAAATGTATCTGTTTAAAAAGAAGTAAGACTTCTTATATGATTCTCCACGTATTAAAGAGTGTGCTTCGTACATGTCTGTGACAATATTTGAACAGTCTCGTTACTTTATATACTAAAAACATTCAACTATAAACTGCAGTAAGATCTTTGAAGATTGTCTGTATAGATACTGAGATTAATTTTGTTCTCAACTAATTAATTAAGACACAACCAAGTATGTATTGCTATATACCAATAAACACGTATGTTCGTACATACTATCGCTACTTATAATTTGGCATTGCACATGGTCATGTTTTTTGCAAACTGTTCATGAAGCATCCAAACTGAATCCAATGCATGCGTACAAATTGATATTTTAGTCTTGGAAAACATGATTACCGACCATGAGAGACCCTTATGGGTAGTCACTGTCGTGAAACACCTCTATCAATACATGATGTATTCATTTATTGTTATTGGCTTTTAACTACCTTTCCGTAACTGTGAGTTACATACTGTATATCTGATGTCAAGAGTCTTTAACGCAGTAACTACGGTTGTTGATTTCTTCTTTATTTGTTTATCGTTTCTTGTTTTGGCATAAATCATGCATTCGGTCTTCTCGTGTTAATTGGTTCACATGTTATAATTTCGAGGCATTTCATAGCTTACAAACAGTATCTGTTTTGTCCATTGTTGAAGGCCATACGGGGACCTATAGTTTCTTTCATCTAAGTCATTTGATCTCTTATCGATTGGTGTCTAATTGGCTATCAAACCGCATCTTCTTATTTCTAGATTAAAACTTATTTTATAATTAGGTCCTTCAATTCAGGAACAATAACATACGTAACATTTATAAACCTTTTAAACAAAAAATGTTATAAAGAGTTAATACATATATCAGATAGTGCAATGATTGTTTCATTATTGTTACCACTGGTATACTCACAAATCAACTTATTCTGTTCGACAGATAGTGTTTTAGTGTGCACTGCAAATCCACAATGACAAGTGTATTCGTAGCCTAGATCAGATTCATTAAAATGTCGTATCAATAAATCAAAGTCTGGACTTGCATTTCCTGTAATCATTTTATATTTTGAAGTTTTAGAGCCTCCTTTCCAGACAAGTAACTGGTAATGTTGCCCACCGGTCCACTGTCGTGTATCAGGTTCTGTTCTTGAAACATTGCAATCTTTTTTGTCGACATGACACTTTAATATAACGTTTCCCCCAAATATTAAAGGATCGTTCACTACATTCCACGTCACTTAAATATAAAGTATAAGTACATAGAAACATAAATGTAAACTTGCATTGAAAATACACAAATGTGTACTTACATACAATTTTACATACAATTTTACAATCATACATACATACATACATACATACATACATACATAGTTTAGTATGGCGTTCATTATCACTGAACTAGTATATATATTTGTTTAGAGGCCAGCTGAAGGACGCCTCCGGGTGCGGGAATTTCTCTCTGCATTGAAGACCTGTTGGTGGCCTTCTGCTGTTGTCTGTTCTGTAGTCGGGTTGTTGTCTCTTTGACACATTCCCCATTTCCATTCTCAATTTTATACATACATACATACATACGGACGGACGGATGGAAAGACAGACAGACGGACAGACAGACAGGCACTCTTTATATTATCATGATTAAACTTTAACATGTTTTAATTAAATGTCCAGTTTCAATATGAGATAAGATTAGTTTATCTTAAATTAAACTTACATGCCATGACAGTTCTTCCCGTCAACAGCAACACCAATAATACATCGACTAATATTGTAGTATTCATTTGGATCTCACTAAATATAATGTTTATAAAAAGGAGATCATTTTGTTTTTATGCAATATATATATATATATATAACAAATTTGTTATTGTGATTACATTTGAAATTCAATATTTGCATTTTAAAAGAAAACATTTAATAATGTTAAGATTAAGTATACTCTTTCCAATTGAAATACATTATTAGATTTATTCAAATCATACTAAATATCACGGATACGCCCATATATCGTTTACCTTATATGATATGATAAATAAAAATGAAAGACAAGGCGCTGTCATGTCAATCATTTGTATGTATATCCTAAATGATCATTATCAAGTACCTTTATTTAAAGTTGTAAACAATTTTCCGACAATAACATACACATTTGTTGCAAGTAGTTAAAGGGAAGGTGGGACATTTGTGAAATTTGCTATCAATTTAGAGGCATTTAAACTTTTGTTAAACGTATTGCTCAGTCATCAATGTTTTGTACGAAGTATATTTTAGACTTCTGTTTGTCTTTTGTTTAGTGTCTTTGGTTATAAGTTTGTCGGTTCTCATCGACTTATGTGTTTTAATTCTCATTTTAATATCCATCTTAAAAGTCATTGTAATTGATGTACCAACACATCATATTGAAATATACTTATCCTGATTTGTAGTACATAAATTGCATGTAGATATAAATAAACGAATGTCTCAATGTCACAACTGCGTTCATTCAAGGAAATAAATAAGCAGTCCAGTAGTTATATAGGTACATTAGGACTCAACAATTTAAAAATAGATATATTTGAAAAAGATTTCCATAGAATTCGAATATAATTATTATAGATATTAAACATCATTTGCATTTAAAATAGTAAAATACATTATTGAAACTTATAAAAAAACTGTTGTTCAGTGTTTAAAAATACAATTTAAGGTAACAAACTTTAATCGGTGCTGCTTAGCGTTATTATTCTTTTCTCATAACATAGAAGGAAAACGAAACATGCACAAAGAGCATAAAATTACGTTTTACAGTTTTTAACTAGATGTAAAAACAAACGGGATGTATCTGCTTTTCTTAAACAAGACAGTATTAGTAGATTGTTTTCTATTTATAAACAATAAAACAAGCTCAATTACGTTAACCAGTACTTCATTTAAATAATCAAATGAATAATAAAACCTTATTCTTCAACAAGTGAAAAGAGTAATGATTAATTTGAATATATAAAAATATTGCGATTTACATTATGTTATTGACATATATACTGCTATACGACCCTCTTAAATTGAATTGGCTTACCTTTATAGTGTTAATACTCTGTTCTATGTTTATATTACCTGCATGGAAAACATCAAATAAAACTTAACAGAAATTTAAAATAGATAACTATATAACATTACAAGACCATTAAAATTTTAAAAATGTATTCTTGTTGATGCCAAATATTTCGTTTTGCATGCTTAATTATAGATGATGACACCATATATAATCTATTTCTGTAAACAATTATTGAATTAGGTATGTGAGGACATGCTAGGGACTTTTAACAAATTACATAAAATATATTATTTGTAATGTTGTGTTTTGCACCTACTATGCTACTTCCTTTCTGTGTAATCTTAAAGGAAGTGTAAATAAAACCTATGATATGATTAATAGGGGTTACGTATACATTCGTCATTCAGTTTATCTCGAGTCTAGTCTAATCAGACTGGTCTTCATGAGACACCGTTATGGAGTATGGGGGGGGGGGGGGGGGGCGTTACAATGAAAGTTATAATTTGGTCTCGGAAATTTCTAAAGTAGTAAAATTCTGCAATTCTTTCAAAGGAATATTTATATTTTTATTAATTAATTAATGGAGTTAAATAATCGTGGTATAATAGTGAAGAAATGTCAATTAATTGTGGTATCGCCATGAAAATTTGATCATAAACATGTCCAAATGTACTGTTTTGTTTTTAATTTGCCAATTTACAATTAGTTTTGAAAATTAGATATTAGAAAGTGCGTTACCAAAATAATATGTTACCTCCTTAAGCAGCTGTGTAGAATATGTATTTTAACAAAGCATCTCTTTTTAGTCATATCTGAAATTTAATTATAAGTCCTCAAATCGAAGCTATCTTTGCAGTATTGTAGCAGTTTTTCATTAAATGCTAGACCTCTGAAGCCCTAAAGCAAACATCTTAGACTGAATTGAAAAACAAATTTATTCTATTTTGCAAAGAACATATATTGTGTGAGAATGGTATGCTAAAAACAATGGATATAACAAATGAGCTGCGTCGGATAAAAGTCGACCTTATACAAATGAATATCAATACATCTGTTATCTTATTTCGGGTTAAAAATATTTCTACGGAGAGTCTATAACTGTTTAAAAATTAAGCTGTGATAAGAACCCTACAAAACAGACCAAAATACATCTTTTATTTCATATTTGAATGTTCCGAAACCCATCAAAATATTATACATGTATTATACATGTACTATTCATGCACTTGCATAAGATCGATTTCTATCCGAAGCAGGTCAAATATTGTGTGAGAATCTTATGTTAGATTCATGTCATTGAACTTAAAATATGAAAATGTTAGTTCAGATTACGATCCATCCAGTAAACAAATAGCAAACAGTGTAATTAATGAATTTCAAATAAGACAGAATTATGTGTTTCATTTTAAACAAACGACCTTAAGTTCAGGAATGGCGTATACCAAAAATAAGATTAGCAGCTTTTATTCAAGATAATTACTCATTTTACACAAATTGAATATAATTCCATTTTTAGCCAATTTTTGGTTTTAAATTCAATTTGTCAACGTGGGTTTTTCTGAAAATCTCTATCCGTTGATCTCATGTTGAGACAGGTTTTTTTTCGTGAAGGCATTCTGAATAGGAACAGAATTTATAGATAAAAACACCCTTACCTTACGCAATTTAAGTTTATAGAATTATAATACAATACATTAAATTTAAAGATTATCTTAGATGTATCTGACTATCATTTTTATGTCTTTTGTTTTTGCCATACAGCTCTGCCCGTGTTTCGGTACTTATACATTCGTGACTTTCAAGTTTGTGATGGTATCGTTCCTGACGAAAGCAAATGAAAACAAAGCGCTTCGGATGTATACAATTTTTATTCTCAATTGTATTCAATTTCTAATTTCTATGACTCCACTGTTTAAACTATCAAAATTGGTATCTTTGTTCTCACAAATAAGGTATCAATGAATACTTTTTCGGAAACACTACATTATTCATTTTTCTATTTTAATCAACTATCAACAGACCTAGGCTCTTGATCTGAAAACTTATCTCAGTTCTCCGAGTATAAAATCTATGCTCGAAACACCTAATCCCTTACTTTGATTGGTTGGGTGCTAAGTCTGATAACGATAATCGTACTCGGCATTTTTATGACCACAAGGCCTGAGATGTTCCGAAATTATCATTTTTTTTACCTTTCAAGTACACTTTTAAAATTATGCAAGGTATTACAGTATAGGTATTATATCTTTAAAAAACAATCAATAACGTGTAAGTTTTTGTATGCATCTGTAATTCGCAATTATCGACCGGTTATATACTGAGGAACTTTAAAAGCGCAACACACATTTTGTTGATTTTTTTTAACCAAATCATGATTGGTCCTCAAACAACTACTATTCATGCTTACCATACTTCTTTCTGTTTAGAAACATTTCTGATGAATGTCTGACGTACCTGAGGTTATTGAACATACCGGATTATTGAAGTCGAACGAATTTCTTAAAGCGAAATTTGAAACCCATAAATGCTTTTTTTAAGGTTTTTTTCTTCGTGAAATAATTTTCAATCGATACCCACACTTAAATCAGTTAAACAATGTTGCATCTCAATATTGCCGAGACTGAGCAACGAAAATCTTAATCAGCCCATAAGAATATTGCAGGCAGGAAAACGTGAACGTGCTGTAATCAGACTATTTGACGTCAGAAACTCTTCTTACTATTCTTCCAACAACGATACAGGTAGACGGGATTTGTTGATGACCATCAATTACCAGATCACTATGCAGTCACAACGCCACGTCAATAGAATTTGATTACGCAACGTCATTTGCAAAACTTGTTTACGGCCGTAACGTCAATTGCTAATCAAATCGTCAAATGCCATGGCAGACTATATTCATGCCAAAAGTGATTCCAATAAACCGGAATTCCAAAAGAATGGACTGCAGAAAAAAATTTAAAGCCTTAATGTTTAAACTGCATAATTGCCAAATTACACTGTAATGGGTGGGACATGGGCAACATCAGAAGGTACAAAACGGAACTCAAAACTTGCCCAACAGAATTGGTTGACCTTTCTGACAATCATTTTGGCGTTAGTTACAGGCAGTCATTGCCCTCGACGGCGATACATCCATTGATAAGGGGGACCCAGGGTTTCAGTGCATACCACATGATTTGAACATAACAAATGACGTAATCAATTCAACTTTCTAACTGAATTTTTTTTTTGGACAAATGAAGTAATGAATGAAATTTATGTTCATACATTTGTTTAACAAAAATTGCATATTTGAAAATGGATATTAAAAAGAATAATCTAGTGTTGCGTTTCTAAAGTTGGTCAGTATAGAAGTTAAATAATTAAAAGTCTAACTTTAATCTGTACAAATTTCAAATATATGTCTATGTTTAGTTGGATTATACAATATACAAAACGGAACTCAAAACATGCCCAACAGAATTGGTTGACCTTTCTGACAATCATTTTGGCGTTAGTTACAGGCAGTCACTGCCATCGACGGTGACACATCCATTGATAAGGGGACCCAGGGTTTCAGTGCATACCACATGATTTGAACATAACAAATGACGTAATCAATTCAACTTTCGAACTGCATTTTTTTTTAGACAAATGAAGTAATGAATGAAATTTATGTTCATACATTTGTTTAACAAAAATTGCATATTTGAAAATGGATATTAAAAAGAATAGTCTAGTGTTGCGTTTCTAAAGTCGGTCAGTATAGAAGTTAAATAATTAAAAGTCTAACTTTAATCTATACAAATTTCAAATATATGTCTATGTTTAGTTGGATTATACAATATACAATAACATCAATACTGTGCGACAATTATATAAGATTGAATGCGTTTATTGAAAACATTCAAATCTGTGGTTTCTTGAATAACATTATTATTTTCGTAGTATACAGTTAAAATAAAAAGCTTAACATTCATCATTTGTAAGAACAATCTTTACAAGTATTAGTAAGAAATAAGGTTTATCTGTTTTATCATATATTTTTTTACCAGTTGTATCCTACATTCAATTTCCAAAAAGTTAATAATGTTCTTGATGTTCAATCTTCCAAAAGTACAATCAAAACTGTAACTGGAAACTTTTAGGAAACTGCCTTCTACAACACAACAACGTCAGATCGGACTCAATTGAAGATAAGAGCGGGTAATGATTTCCGATTGCACACACGATTTAGTCTCTTTTTATTTAACATCACAACAATAGGGGTTTTATTCCAAAATACACCGTACGTATTCAATCAAGAAACTCCCCTATATTTTACAAAAACCATATCATAACAAAGTTTTATCTAAATCAATTTTATTATATGATTATGAATTTGCATAAAAACAATCAGGATAGCCTAACATAACTAGTTTAATTGTCAAACACAATTAGTGCATAACTAACATATAATTTTAACAGGAAGAATGTTTGCTAAATTGTTATGTTTTAAATATGACTTCGTATTATATCACATCTAGATTAATCGACATCTAGCAACGCATTTTGCTTAATTCGGTTCTAGGGACCGTCTTGAACTTGCAGTGAAGTGATAGCTTTTTTTGCAATATGAAGACATTTTTATGACCTTGAGATTAAGAAAGCGTTGTTCATTGGTGTTGGCTATTTTTATTTCATGTAGTAAGCGTTGTCGTTACTTAATACACCAAATCCTTTTTTGTCTATTACATTTTTATATATACGAACGGAACGTTATAATGTATAGTTGAGGTTTTGCAAAACCAAATTAATAATAAGAAAAACCACCAAAGTTTTGTTCTTTGTTTTATGTCCACATCGGTTACCAGTGTATTGTTCTTTGATTTGTGTCCACGTAGAGAAAGGCTGTGGTTTTTTTTTTTGTTTTTTTTATGTCCACTTCGACTAACGGTGTTTTGTTTTGTGTTGTGTGTCTACTTAGGCCAACGATTTGTTGTTCCTTGTGTGTTATGTTAACTTAAACAAACGTTTTATTGTTTTCTGTTTTGTGTCCACTAAGATAAATAGTTTGTTGTTTTTTGTTGTGTGTCCACCTATACAAAAGATGTGTTATTCTTTATTCCATGACCACATCTACAATAACTAATCTTTACACATAAAACTGAAGACTGGAAAGGCAAGACA